TTACCCTATTTTTCTTTCCTACTTATTCCATGATTTTTGGCTTGCAACATAACAAACATAGTAGGTACTTGGAACAATTCGGCCAAATTGTGCAAGTCAGATTCACAAGAAATTCTCCATTTTTTCAATTCTCCTTTTTCATTGTCCATCAAGAAGTGAAATCGACACTCACACGTGTTTTTGGCTCCACAAAAAATGGCCTGAACTCTATTTAAAAAGTCTTCATACGACAAACTCTCGAAACACATAAAGTTTCTCTCTGTCTGTCCATTTTTATAAACATTCTCATCCCAAAATCCGCTATGCACATTTGAACTTTTTCACACAAAATCTGTAAAACAAAGATACAAAAGTATTTTACTGACAAACAATGACAAAAAAATATTTGAGAATTAGGTAATCAGTGTTTATAATAAAACAAATAAAATTCAAACCAGAAACGATTTTTGAGATCACAAAATCAGTTTATACGATTCAAAAACCGTTTTTGGGATGTATCTCCCGTTTCTGGATCTCCTAAACCATTTTGGGGATTCAAAAATGATTTATGGTCCCAGAAATCGTTTATGGGATTTCTTTTACCAGAAATCAATTTTTGAGATCCCTAAACGATTTATGGGACCATAAATGATTTATGTATCATTTATGATCCACAAAATCATTTATGGTTTTCTGGTTCCAGAAATGGATTTCTGGTCCATAAATTTCTGGACCAGATATGATTTCTTGATTTTCTGGTTTCTGGTCCTAGAAATGTCCCAGAAATTGTTTCTGGGGCATTGAATGTTTTTTAGATCCAGAAATCATTTATGTTCCCAGAAATCATTCATGCTACAGAAATCCCTTTTTTTTGGCAATATTCATGTTATTTATTTGAATACTATATATGTGACCCACTAAAATAAATGATAATTATAAAATACCTTTAGATTAATATTTCGAGATATTACCTAATGCAAGTGGAGCGTCCTGGCAGATTTAGAATAGATCGCCTCTCGTCCTCGCCGGTGGAACGTCGGAAACCTGCAAACAACTCTCACACTGGGGGGTTCTCCGGTGAAGAGCCTCCGATGCTTAAGTAAGTATATGTATGTATGAGTTGAATAATGGAAATCGTGTGTTAAGGAAGAAAGGCTCACACCTCTTTATATAGGGGTGAGATACCTGACCTAAGGGCTGCCCAGACTTGGTGAGCTGGCTGCCCCAGCTGCTCGTCCGTACTCTGACACGCCGCACGTATGTCAGAGGTGGCGTTGGGAGTTGTCAGAGGTGGTTGTCGCTGTCAGCCAATGCATTCTCGCCACGTGTCCTCTGCACATGGGATGATTATTCCTTTGAATATTCCTCTGAAATTCGGTTAGAGGCTCTTACACGCGCCAGCAGGGGCGAAACCACAGAGAAGGTCGGAGAGGCGCCGACCCTTCCAAAAAACAAATTCGAACTAGGGGTGGGGGTTTTGCTGGAACTGGAAGGGCGCCCTTTGAGCGCCCTTTTGATGTCCGAGTGGGGGTGGTGCGCCGCGAGATGGCTGGAGGGGCGCCACCAGAAATCCGAAATCTGAAATTACAGAGCAGCTGAGCATGGAGGCATGGAGCCATGGAGGGGAAGCTGGATTGGAGAAAATTTGTGTTTGTGTTTGGTTTTGTCGTGAATTTTTTTTAAAGGCAAATTGGGCCCTCCCTGAAACGGGATCCTGGTTTCGCCAATGCGCGCCAGTGACTAGGTCGATCTCCAAAGTACCGCCAGTCTGTAAAGCGGTCGATCTATTGAGGTCAACTCGACTGCTCAACTGGTCGATCCTTCGTCTACCTGTGATATATTGTCTGTTTCGGTGTCTTCAATATCTGATCTTCGAGGTGGTCGAACGTCATCTTGCTCGATTACTCTCAGATCAATTTGGCTCCCCCGCTGTACAACCCCTTCGACCGGATCAGCAGACCGTTTTGATCTTGTGGGAATAATATCCCATATCATCACCATAATTTCACCAGAATGTTTTCGGAATTTTGAGAATATGAAGAGAATGATTTTTTTTCTTTTTCTTTTTTTTTCTTGTTAAAAAAATAATTTTTTTTTTAGGAGTTTTTCTCAATCTAAGCCCTGAAAGATGGTTTAACAATCAATTCGGGCCTCGAAAGATTATTTTATCAATTCAGGGCCTGAATGTTTTAAAACTATCAATTCGGGGCTCTTGTAATTAACACCGTTAAATAGTATTTCTTAACATTTGATGTGGCTGTTAAAAACAAGGCAACCATTTTTTTTTCTGGATTTTGTATGGTTTATTTTTATGAACTTTTAATTAATTTTGATGAAGATTATTTTTAGTCGAGAGTTTTACATTTTTGTTCATTGAAGCAATTTTTTTTTTTTTTTT